CAGAATGGAGACAGCTTCGGACTAGCTCCCATAATGACAGAATGCGGGGAGCTGCCCAGAACAACAGTTCTTTTCAATATTTATACACCTTGGTTCATACATATTAACATTTACCCAACCTTGTCCCACCTTTGGTTCCACCCATTTTTCCTCCCATCTCAAGCTCCACCTGTTTACTGTTTGCTTCCTTAGCATGGTATTGCCTATGCAGTACATTCATTTACATGCCTCTCTGCTAAGAGCGAAAGCGTAAGACTTTGACCCTTATCTTCTTTTGCTCACTTCACAGTTTATCACTGGTTCTTGCTGGTTTTCTTGCTGACTTCTCCATCTCCAAGGCTGTATCACTGCTTTGTCTCCTGACACTAGTTGCTTAATACATCATGCACTTTGCACCCTATCCTTTTGTTAGAAATCCACTTACTTAAGCATTAGCCAAGTTAGCTGCTTTTAATACATCAGCTATCCTTGTGACCAGCAGCCTTTTGCTGAGACACAGGAAAAAGCCTTCATTTAACTGCACACTCAGTACTCCCCAAAATTCATAACGTACAGAGAAAAGCTATCCTGAGGGCCAGTGTGGCTTCTGCTCAGAAAGGACCATCATAAATAAGGTCTTCTCTGTAAGACAACTGCAGAGAAAGTGCACAGAGAAGCATATCCCACTATACATGGCTTTTTTACATTTAACAAAAACCTTTGATATAGTTTGTTGGTCAGGCCATGATGTTTGAGAGGGTGTCTATCTCAGCACTAGACATGATGGAGGACTGTTTAACATTGTGAGGTTCAGAGGTAGATGGAAGTGAAAGGACATCATCACAAGGGACCTGTTTTTTTTCAGATGATGTAGCCCTTGTGGCTCACAGCGTTGATGCTTTGGATGCTGCTGACCAATTTTTCTACCTTGGCACAACCGTTACCAGCAATGTAGATCTTGATGGTGAGTTTGCTAATAGAATTGGCAAAGCAGCCAGGTACTTTGGGCTTTTCCAAGACAGAGCCTGGAATAATAACAAATGGTGAACTAAGTGAAAACTCATATATACGAGGCATGTGTTTCATCCACTCTTCTATATGGCTCAGAAACATGGACAACCCACAACAAATATACCAAAAAACTAAACAGCTTTCATATCAGGTACCTGCACAGAATACTTCAAATAAGAAGGCAAGACAGGGTGACAAACGAGCAAGTGTTTAATCATGCAGGTATGTCATCCATGGGAATGTTGATTAAGAAAAGACTCAGGTGGCTCAGTCATGTAAAGCAAATGCTGGATCAGGGGACACAAAGAATGTGATGTCCTTTGAAGCTCATAAAGGGTCTAGAAAGAGAGGCAGTCTGCTGTGCAGATTTTGGGATGCTTGCAACGATGACTTAGCATCCTTTGGAATCGCCGTGGATGACTGGGAAAGGAGTGTGGGAGGTCCCTCTGATTGGTGGAGTCAGCTTGCACCTAGATGTTTCCTGCTTGATCCTGGCAGGGGGTGTGCTCCAAGCCAGGGAGGAGAAAGGCCAGCAGGATCTCTCTGGTGCTACCATGGTGCTGCCATGTCACTTGCCCTGGTCCTGTGATGGCCATGCAGGCTTTCATGGCAGGCTCTAGGATGGACCAGGTGAGAGGAGACAGTCACTGCCCCACCCATGCCCCGCCCTGGACACAAAGGGTCTGAGTCCTTCATGCCCATGGGTTCCCTTAAGACAGAGAGCCTCACAGGGCCCCACCTGGCACTCCCCAGTCCCTAAACACCACCCACCCAAGCCCTGTGGGCATGGCCAGCCCGCAGACCTACCATTCCCCAGACAGACATATTTGGGGTTGCTCTGAGCCCAGCTATCTTGAGGATGAGAGCCTGTTGGGGGAAAGGGTGAGGGAGTCAATACAGGGCCCACACACCTGAACACACATGGTAGATACCAGCTCAGCCTCACAGGCACGTATATACATCTACAAACACTGTGGTCTCCCACACAGACATGCACAACACACACACTGCACCAGCACATGGGGGCACACACCACCAGAAGGTTTTCAGGGACTGGGGCAGCAAGTATTACTTGGGGCGCAAAGGGTTTCAGGCCAGGACATGGCCAATTTATTGGTCTTCCCAGGCCCCGCCTGGGTGTGCAGGGCTCTGGGTTCCTCTGGGGCACAGCTCTCATCCCTGGAGCCTCCAGCTGGACCCTGCTCTGAGGGCTTCTGTCCAGGCCCTAGGAGAGAAGGAGAGGGGACAGTCACCATGCCAGCAGGGCCCTTCCCTGGACACTGAGCCCCACACATTTGTGGGCCCCATAAGGGAGGGAGCCTGATGGGGGCTCCACCTGGTACCCCAGCCCCTGGATACGGCCAATCCTGGCCCTGGGGCACTGCCGCTCGGGGGACCTACCATTCCCTGCACAGCCAGTCTGGGCAGCTTCTGCCAGTGCCTCAGGGTTTTGGTGTGGAGCGGCTGTAGAAGGGAAGAATGGGGGAGTCAGCTCAGGGAGCAGCGAATGCATGCTGGGGACATGGCCTCACATGCATGCACACACACAGGCCAGACACAAGCATGAGCTCACACGTGTATGTACACAATACCCCACTAAACACACACATCCCACCTGATGGACCCCTCTGCACCCCAGATGCTTCCCTAGGGCACATGGCCATGCCCATGCTACCATCCCACAAGCATACACATGTGCTCAAACACGGGGCCTGTGGGCAAAGCCCTCCATAATCTGTGCCTCAGTTTCCCCTTCACTGTAAGACATATTCCAGAGGTCCTAGTGCTAACAGATGCTCAGAGGCAGGAGACATAGGAGTCCCAGCCTGGCTCCTCAGCGCACCTAGGGATGTGAGTCTCTTTAGGGAGAGCATTTTAGACTTCTCAGCCAAGGCAGGGCACAGGGAAGATTGGGCATGGACTAGATTGGGCCCCATGGCCAGGGCAAGGATTCATACATGGCAGGGCACAGGACACTGTCTGCTCCCAGGACTGCAGCCAAGGCTCTGGCTGGGGGTTTGTGTCGGGTCAGGGTGCAAGCAGGGACAGGGAGGGCCCAGCACATCATCACCGTCCTGTCCAAGGCACAGGGCATGGTTCTGCCAGCACCTCACAGCCACTCACCTGGCTCTTGCCCCTGGGAACATCACCTGCCCCCATGTCTTCACCCTCTTCCCTGGGATATGGTGGGTGCACCAGCAGAGGGGCCCGCACCCAGACTGGTCTGTGGGTCTGCTTAGGTCTTCTTGGAGGAGGCTGCGGGGCCAGCTGTGCCTCAGATCCTGCAGGTAACTGGATCTGGGATAGCTGGAGGAGAAGAGCTGCTCAGCAAAAGCCACCCTGGGACCTCTTCCCCCCAGGAGTCTTCCTGCACCCACAGGGAAACTTTGGGGCCTTCTCAGCCTGCACTGACCCAGCTCCCAGACCTCCCACTCTCCCAATCACCAAGGGGCAGCTCCAGCAGACCTGTCAATAGCCAATGGCATCACTGTTACCAGGAGAGCTCTGCTCAGCCTGTGCCTGGGTATGCAGAGGGCCCCCAGGAGGACTGTCAGCTCATGCCCAAGCCACAGACCACAGGCATGGTCACAGAGCTGAGGAGGCCTCATCTCTCCTCCCCACCCCCAATATCCTGCCCAAATGGCATCAAGGAGAGCTCAGCTGAGGCAGAGGCCTTGGGCCTAAGAGCTAAAGCCACATGGAGCCAGGAAAGTGCTGCCCCAGCCAACAGGAGAAGCACATGATAGCCCCTTGCCAGCAGGAGGCTGGAGCACCGGGAACCCTTTGCTACTGCCATGCCAGCCTCACAGCTTGTTGCAAAACCCCAAAGTGTTGCCAGCCCCTTACCCGCACTGGGCCACCTCTCCGCTGTCTCTCCCTACCGCTCGGGTCAGAGCAGCTGGTCTGAAATGGAGGGAGAGAGATGGGAGTAAGCAGCCAAGGGGGGGGAGGAAGCCGAGCTCTGTGCGGGGCAGCAGGAGGCACTGGCTCCAGCACCAGGACAACATTTCCCTTTGCAGCTGGGTCTGGGACTTGTCCCTCCAATCACTCACCTTGCTGCTGTGCTGCAGGCACAGCCCTGGGTCTTCCTTACCTATCATCACTATTACTTATTCTATCTACTCTACACCACTGTCTCTATCTACTATTTATCTCCTACTTTTGTCTGCTCTCCTATCTACTATCTACTCTGCTATCTCTAAACTCTCTCTACAACTCTCCACTAGCTACTCTGTATCTGCTGTCTCTAATCTATGTAATCTAATCTCCTAACTTGAAGTCTCTCCAACTAATAAAACCTCTTCTACACCTTAGCTGAGTCTCTTGCGTTGCGCTGAGACTGACCAGAAAGCACTGGTGGCAAGCTTTTATTCCCTACCCGTCCCTGGTCTCCGTGGTGATGGACTGACACAGGAGCTATATCACAGCTTGTGTCGGGCCCTGCACATGGCAGTCGGGCTGGGACCCTGGGCCCCATCCTCCCTCCCCACCCCCCCCGCCATTAACGCCTCTCACCCTGCCCAGGTGGC